AAAAAAAAACCCGGTCCGGGCCGTATATTTCACAACCAAATATTTGAAATCGCCATTTTTAGCTATGAAAATCAAAAAATCCGAGCTGAGCCGGGTCTGGCCTTGCCAATGGTGCCCCTGAAGATCTCTGGTACATAGGTCATAACATAAATTTAGGAATTCGTTTAAAACAGGGGAGATAAAATTCGGGGTTTCCTAAAGGAAATATTTGTTATAGAATTTCTAATTTATCTAGACATTTACAGTTTATAGTCAATCAAATCTTATATTAACCCTGTTCTTAATCTCTGGCCCCTAGAGTTTGGCTTAAGATAAAAAAAATTTGTCCCGTGAGAGGGGGGCCGTCTTCTATAACCTTCTTAGCATCGATCGGTATGTGATTAACTGATCAAGAAAATAATAATCGAGAAATTTTGTGTTTTAATACCAAAATCTTGATAATTCATTTTAATTATATACTGTGTTCCACCTGATGATCTGATTATTCCATCACCCACACTTAATTTCTTTCTTTCTTTCTTTCTTTCTTTCTTTCTTTCTTTCTTTCTTTCTTTCTTTCTTTCTTTCTTTCTCTCTCTCTTTCTTTCTCTCTTTCTTTCTCTCATTCTTTCTATGTAGCCTTATGTTGGCTATAGAAGAAAAAAAAATTATTTATGTTATAAAAATCATTTTTTTGACCAAAAAAAAGAAGTGGATACGGAGAATAGTGTTGTTAAACGGCTCAATTCGAGCCGGTTTTTAACCGGCTAACTTAATATTTTATCCAGAAAAATATCACTCATAAATGGCGGCACATAGGATTGACCATCAGGCGAAATCTCGACCCTTAGGCAATCTTTTCCGGGCTATGATATCGAGTTAACCGTTTTTTAAAAACCGGTTCGAATTGAGCCGTTTAAACAACACTAATGGAGAATAACATTAATTTCTAAGGCGACATTTGGTAAAAAATTTCAAAAAAGATGGCTTTTCAATAAAATTTTGCATAATTTTATTGAAAAATAACTTGGGAGTCTTTTAATTATTTGCCATTTAAAAAGCATTCCTAAAATAATTGCATTGTTCCTAACATAACTTAATCATAGAAATTTCTTTTACTTTTTCCCTGGAGGAGAGGACAATGATTGCCCCATCTAAATCTAACCAAGCCCTCAACATCATTGATCAGAAGGAACAGCTTAAAATCTCCAAATACACAGAAATTTCGAAAGACCATTGTTTAATTCCTATCATTTTCAACCACACTTGCCACCTTTGGCAAACTTGCCCTAGCATTCTTCAAAAAATTTAAGATCACAGATCAGTAAACTCTCAGAAGAACCCACTAGAGAAAGGTTATTTCTTCGACAAAGTTATAGCCTATAGCTATCGTTAAAGCGAATTACATCAGCTTCAATGGTACTCTACTAACCTAAGAGCTATCCTAGACCCTATCTACTTCTTATACTTTTTCTCTCACTTATAGAGGTCGAAGCTTTATAAATTATAGTACTCTTTTATCTAAATATTCAGTAATAAAATTTTTCCAAAAAAAAAATGCCTAATAAAAAAAAATACCTGAAAGTACCTAGTGTTAGAGGTCACTGAGTTCTGGATGCTAAAGAATTAGAGATCTTCTCTGGACAAAGTATTTTCCAAAACCAGTCGTTTGGATAAGATCAAAAGGTTAGAGAGGAGATATGATTTGATTGGTTAAAAATTATTCATGCACTTCTATTAATTAAGTTTTAAATTACCAGTTTTTTTAAATTAAATTACTTGCAACTGTATATATATTTTAATGTTATAAATTTAATTTCATAATTCGGTATTTTAATAAACTTTTTTAGATATATTGATATATTTATTAATTATTAATTATTATTTTTTAATTGTTTTAATTTGTCAATAAATTCATCGTTAATTGTGGAATATTCAATGTCATCAAAAAAAAAATCAAAGAAAGAAAGAAAGAAAGAGATTTTTTCTTTATTTTATATTAAAATTAAATTTCAAAATGACCACCAAAATATATTATTAACATTATAGAATCGGTTGAATCAAAATAATGTAAATTGTTATTTCTTAAATTATCTACAAAATAATGAAATATTACAAAAGGGAGAAGATAAGGAAAGGATGAGTGACTTTAGGAAAGATCCTTGGAAAGTAAACTGCCTTTACCTAGTGTAGTTTGCTTTGAGGATGGCTAACGTCAAAAATATCGTGAATAATAATATATTTCTTTCTTTCTTTCACTTTCTTTTCTTTTCAATCTCTTTTTTATTCCTAAATTATTAGGCCCATTCAATATATACCATATGGTTCAAAAATAAAAGTAATTTTTGTAATTTATTTTCCGACCAATATAATTTTAACAAATCTTGAATCAGTTTTTTTGCAGAATTTATGTCTTTCCTTACTTCCTTGGGCCGCTTTACTAAAACTATTATTGGTCATTAAAACCCCCCCCATCTTTAAAGAAACCGCCAAGCTTTAAGATTTAACTTTAAAGATGGGTAAAAATTTTGGCTCTGTTGCTGAAGATCTTCCAAGTCGTTGTTAAAACAGTATTATTAGCGAGATTTCTAACACTGCTAATTTTAGGGAGAGATTCTAAAACCGCTAAAAATTGGCGAATCTTAGGAAGTAAACACTTGCATTTAAAGTTGAGTTTTTAAAAAAGAGAAGCCGCTCCTAACAGAGTTAAAAACCCTTTCGCGGTAGGTAAGAATTACAGTGTCAATTTCCTTAAAAAAAAATGAAGGAAATCAAAATTCGAGTGTTTACTTCCCTAGCATCTATTAGTGTATTAATTTAAATTAATTTCAAAATTTTTAGCGAAATTCCCAATTTCTAAGCGATTTGTAAACGGGAAAAACCTAATTTATATTAATTTTTTAAAATCATTTTAAAAAAATTAAAATTAATAGAAATACCTGATTATCGGAGATTAGGAGAGGAAAAATTGAATATATTTTTATATGAACGAATCAAATTATGAATCAAAAATGGATGTTTAGTGCTGGCTTGGGATTGGGCTAATCTGATTTTTAAAAAATAAATATCTTTTCCGATGCATAAAATAAATTGGTTTTGAAAATATATATGACTTTTTTTTTGAAAAAATTATTTTTTAAAAAATATATAAAATAAATATTATGAATTTCATTTTATTTTAAATAAACTTTTTATATTTTTTTTTTATATAGAAAAATAAAAATTAAAATAAATATATTTTCGCAAATGTTATATCGATAAATTTCGAAATATTTTTTTTTTTGTAATTATTTTTATTTTTAAATGTAAAGTCGCTTTTTTCTTTTCTTTTCTTTTTTTATTTTATTTTATTTTATTTTAATTTTTTAACATAATTTTATAGTTCGTAAATGCGGTAAAAATAATAATAAATAAGCAACTTTATTGAGTTTTTTTAAAATTCTCTAAACCAAGTATATAGCATTTTTCCGTGATATTTCTTCTAAGATTTAAATCCCGGAATTAAAATTTTGAATCTTGAAATGAGCAGGAAATGGGTTAAACGTGGACTCGAATGCAGGTTAACCAATTAGAAAAATGAAAATTGTGGGATCGGGAAATGATTGGCAGTTCTAAAAAACCTTCCAGATTTATAATTTTGAATCTTGAAATGAGAAGGGAAATGAGTTAAACGCCGTAAATACTATTTTTAAAAAAAACGGAAATTGTATGTGAACGGGATACGGAATGCAAGACTTACCTTTTTTTTAACTGGATGACCAATTAGAAAATCGAGATGAGGAAAGGATGGGGTTGATTGGCAGATCTAGTTCTAAAAAATGATCATTACCCAAGAACCCAAAGCCCGGCGTAAGAATGATTTATAACTATTATTAATAAAAAAAATTTTTGTAGAATATTTTTTTAGAAAAAAAAAATTAATAAAAATAAAATAAAGATAAGACAGGTGTAAAAAAAAATAAATTTTTTTTTTTATGGGTTAGAATATTTTTAAATATTTAAAAATAATAATAATTAATAATAAAAAATAAATAATAAATATACATATATCGTAAAAAAAAATATATATTTTATTATATAAAATCGAAATTCAATAATAATAATAATAAATAATAAAAATTAAAAATTAAAAATAACTAAAAAAAACAGTGTTATGTAATCCTATTCTTTTTCGATATTATTAAATTTAAAAAAGATGAAGAAAAATTGTTTTTTTTTACTAATATTTACATTAAAGTAAAAACATAAATAGTATTTATCGATATCATAAAAGTTATCCTTTAAAAACTCTTAATTTTCTAAAGGAATTTAAAGCAAAGCAATTATATATAAACAAAAAAATATTAAGAGTGCATTAAAAATGGGGTTCGGTCGGTTTTGGCCTCCTTCATTCTCACTCACTTCAATTCGTAAAAATTTATTATATTATATATTATTTTTTTTTAAAAAAACCCTAAATTATTTTGTGTTTATATTTTAATTAATATAATGTCGTATGGGGGGGGGGGGGGGGATTCGGAATCTTCTGATTTTAAATCCGTTTCAACAGAAAATGTATTCTTAGCATGTGAAGAAGAGTACCCAAACCAGGTAAAATTTCAAACAATTTTGCCCGTGAACTTTAGAAAACTGTTTCTTAATTTATAATTAATTTTTATAATAGATTTTTTCATATAAAACTAATAAAAAAAATAAAATTGGCTGAAATTTATGGGGTAAATACTCGACGCATGCAGTAATAACAATTCCTCCAAGATCGGATTTTTAAAATCCGAAAATCGTCCTTGAGAGATCAGGATACCGAAACCCCACGGATTCCGAAACCCCATACGACATATGTTAATAATTCGATCCCAACGTTTGTCTTTTAACCAAAGAAACGGGAAAAAAAATCAACTTTTAACAGAAAAAAGAAAAGCTTAAAATTATAAGTTATATAACTGATAAAATTTGATTTAAATTTTATATCAAAAAGTATATGGATGAACGATGAGAGAAAAAAAAATATAAATTATAAAAACCTTCCGTAATCACTTCTTCAGTCTTCTTACTCCTACCTCCTTCTTCTTCTTCTTCGCTAACTTTCTTATCGACGGCCATTTTCTTTTTTGCTTTCTCTCCTTCCTCTTCCTGATCTTTAATCTTTTTGGCGGGAGACACTTTCAAGGTCGCTGTCTGGGAATCGGTTCGCGATCCGTCGGCGATTACGACTTTGTAAGTACCGGAAGTGGAAGGGTTCGCGTTGAGTAGCTCCAATACGTACACCGTTTCGCCGTTCTTAGCGGGCTCGGAGTGGATTTTGTAACTGAGACCCGTTTTGTTTATTTCTCTACCGTCCCTATGGATCAAAAATTTTAAAAAATAATTATGGGATCGTATACAGTTACATCATTCCATAGCCCATGTTTATACTAATTCATTATGTTATAATACAAAATTCAAATTATCATCGTTATTATGTTTCCAAGATTTCGTTGTGTCACTGGACAATTCAAATTACAGATTTGGGAGAGGGGGCGGGCTAGCCCTGACCCCTGACATCACCCAAAACCCCACCAAGAAAATTTTTCCAACAAAACCGACCCTAAAAGTATTTTACACGATATGTCCAATGCCTTATTTAATATTTCGGAGTGATAGTCGGGTCCTATTAGAATAAATTCAAGAATATATAAATATATTTATAATTAGTGTATGAGTTGCTAAACTTGAACCAGGTAACTTTTATGTCCTTCGAGTCAGGGACCTTACACAGGAACTTGACAGATTCGCCCAGAATTGCGGCCTTAATCAAAGTAATGAAATATATATATATTCTGTAATTAAAGGAAGATTATATAGACCGAACCTAAGGATGATCACGCAAATAGCGTGGTTTAATAGATATTTTGTTCAGGGTTTTTGTGACACCTGCCATTCGTTTAGGGAGTTCCTTCCCATGGGTCGGTTCAACTGTTAGGCGCTCGATGCTAATTAGTTCCGAATTTTCGAGAACATGTCCATCACCATTTTTATTTGTAAAAAAAAGAATGGCTGCAAAAATATCACGAGGAAAAAAAGAAGGAAGGAATAAATTTTGACTCCTCAATACAAAATGACTGACATCCCATATATCACAAAATCGTAATGAATAAATGAATAAAATTGTTCTAAGAGCAATGTAAATTAGATCTTGTTCTGTTTATTGTACGTCAAATTTCGATGAACATAGTTAATACCATCTAAATTTAAGAAATGAAACTTTCCCTTACCCTAACCTTAATTTTGCATATTTATTAATTAATCTTGTGTAGATAATGTACAAAAAATAAATTTGAGAATAGAAATAAATGTTAAGTTAACATAACCCTAAACTCTAACCCTAAACTCTAACCAATTTAAAAAATGAAACTTTCCCCTAACCCTAACACTTATCAATTATATATTTCTTTAAGGTCTACTTTTAAAATAAATTTTTATATTTTATCAAAATTTGTAATATAGGTGATACATATAATAACGAAGGTTTTGGAGCCGTGTAAAATATCGCACAAGAGTTACAGAACATTATTAGAAATTTCGGGAAAATCGATTGGAATTCTAGGAAACTTAATTGAAGGATTATCCAATAAATTAAACTAACGAGGGCGTCGCTACCTCTGATCATTTAGGATCTCATTACTACTTTTTATAATTGAAGGTTGTAAATTGAAATAATGACCAATTATTAAGACGCAAATCTAATTCAGATGAAAATTACAATAACATTCGAACCCTTAATAATTAATATTGAGCCCTCAGCTAACGTATTTGGTGCTTTAAAATATTTGGAAAAACCAATTCCCCCAAGCTATACATGTCTCATACTTAATTATAAATTAAACTGAATCATGCCTAGGTCACAAAATCATCGCTCCTGACAGTTTAACCTAATTAGGATCCCCATTAGCTAATCACCGCCCGCCAAGTGTGAAGAATTCCTTCCACAACATTTCCCAAAAGTTTTCACAATAAGTTAGCATACCTTATGAACGAAGGCACATCATCATTTTCAATTACGCAAACATGATATCCAAAAATTCAGGACGAATTCAAAATATTTTTGGGAAAGAGTTTTAAACATAACTCCCCCCCATAGTTATCTTCTAAATTGGGTGGTTAGGACCTTTTTTTCCACTCAATCTATTTATCTTTATTGTAATTTATATCATTTAGATTAACAAACAACAACTCAGGGATCTCAGGCTTCATATTCCCCGCCGAAGTCGTTTATTAGTTGACGTAACCAACCAATGGGAGGCTAAATATCTAGATTTCTCAACCAACCAATGGGAGGCTAGATATCTAGATTTCTCTAATTTAGCCTCAAAAAAATATATTTATTGGTTCTAAAAACACGTTATCTAAAAAAAATAATATATATTTATAAAAATGAATTTTACTTGATCATTCAATTGTGATAAAAATTTAAGAATTTTGGGCTTTTCAACGACGATTTGCTTAGATTCTTTATCATCTTTCTCATCTCTGAAAAATATTTATGTAGTATAAATAAATAATTAGATAAAAATAACCGACTATAATAATGTTAATAAATTCTACTTTCGTTAACTAACGGCGTTTAAATAAAATTAACGTAATTGTGGTTGATTCAAATCTTATAAATCATAAAATCAGAATTTGATTCACTTTTTTTCATCTAGTCTTAGAACAACTTCAGCCGGATATGACCCACCATCCTGAGTGTGTATAATCAGCTTGTACACTCCTCCATCATTGGGCTCTACATTCTAGAATTTGAATAAATGAAAGAATTTATAAACCTTAGAAATTCTAAACGGAAAACTCAATATTTTCATCCAGAAAAATTTTCACTTCAAGCCTGAAGGCTTTGTTCAAAGATGGGCACAAAGGAGTAGACATCTATTAGCGAAATCTCAAGCTAGAAAAAAATATTTATTTTGGCTAAAATATTGAGTTTGCCGTTTTATAGCAACATTTCTCGAACGTTAAAAACCGAAAGAAAAAAAAAATAACATGCGATTAAAATATGCTTTAAAAATATTTACGTTGAGGCATAGGGTGTATAAATTTTCGGTGTCGGATACGGGTTTGACCTTATAATACGCTCTGTTTCTGACGGGCGATGTCGTCAATTTGAGTGGCTTTCCATCTTTGAACCATTCTAACCTCGGATTCTTATCCTGGGAGTTAGTAGTGCACTTGTATTCTATTATCAAGTTTTTCCCATCTTTTTCGAAAATTACGTTGGGTTGATCTACTTTGCAGCGGACCGAACTCTTCCGTCTCCACATATTCTTGGGAACGGTGAGGTCTTCTTCCTTTTTTTTCGCTCCCAGCATTTCGTCTTAAATATATATATTTAAAAAAAACAGGATCAATTTATCTGAATCGATTCTTCATCTGATTTAAATTTTTTTTACCATCAATTTGGAGGCTGATATTAGCGTTGCCTTCACCGTGAGGATTTTTCACGTGACATTTATATAATCCAGAGTCAGCTGGTTCTGGCGACTAATTTATAAACGGAAAGAAGGTATAGAGTTAAATTTAATAATATTTAGAATACACTCACTTTCAAAATTAGTATGTGCTCGTAAGTGTCCTTCTCTGGCAATTTCAAATTTTTCAGCGAAATTCGCTTGTGCTGCGGCGTAGCGGAAATCGGTTTATCGTTATAATACCATTCGTAAGTGCCCTCGGGATTCGATTGAACTTTGCAAATTATGCTCATAGTTTTCCCGTCACTCGAAGTTACTATGTCCGGTTTACCGACGAAGAACGGTGCCACCCCTGCGATTCTTTGATCGGCGGCCATTTTATCTAATAAAAAAAATGGTCGTTAGTAATCGCGAATAATAAAAAATCAAACTTTTGGGTTCGACATCGTCTGCCATCTTCAACTCGGATGTTTGGAAAATGTTCTTCCTTCCGTCCGTAATGGATACCTTATAAATTCCAGCATCGGTGGGATCGAACTTGGGGATTTCTAAAGTGGAAATTGTTTCATTTCCGTTGAAGGTCGAACTAATTCTATATCTCACTCCTTGGTTTATTTGTACCCCGTCTCTGTTATTATATATATATATATATTTTTTTTTAAATAAAATAAGATAGATAATCGTATGAAAGGGTTGGTAAAACTATGTTAGTGTAAGATACCAGAGATTCTGTGAGAAAGAGATGGGGGTGGGGGGTAGTATTGTAATATAAAACATCGTTCTAGAGAAGCTAGTGTTGTTAAAGGGGTCGATTAGAGCCGATTTTTAGAAAACAGCTGACTCAATATTTTATCCAGAAAAATATTCACTCGATCCTGAAGATTCTGCTCAAAGATGGGCTACCACAAAGGTCTAGACATCTATTAGCGAAATCTGGAGTTTTTTAAACAATATTATTTAGGCTAAAATATTGAGTTTGCCTTTTTTTTAAAAACAACAACTAGCTAAAAGAGCATCAATAAATTCTTTGTAAGATGGAACATAAATACATTAATTCGAGAGACCCAACCCTTAAAAGGATCAATCACAATTAGTATAAAATATAAATAATAATAATAATTAGGTGTCCACTTACTTGAACCATAATATCTTGGCGTTCTTCCCGCCTTCGAACCTACAGACAAACTTCACGCTTTGGCCTAAGCGGGCGTCCTGAATTAATGTGTCAAAAATTTAATTAAATCAAGTAAGGCGTTTTTACGTAGCGGTTACGTTTCGGTTAAAACTTATAGTGGTCCATGTTCGTTATAGCAGAGCGGGTAACGAGTTCAAAACGATTTTTAAAAAGAAGAAAGGACAATGAATTTTAAAATCTCCTGAAATTTCCACCATTTGAGGACCTAGACTGATTCTAACTATATAAACCTAAAAGCACGTGTCTGTCCAGGGTTTTTTAAAAGGTTATAGCCACCTGCCAATCATTCATTTATCCGAAAACTTACTCGGTTTTACCCAGTCGGCTTAATATTCGAAAATTATTTGATTGATTTGGTTTTGGCTCTTCATTTATTTTATTTTAACTTACAAATTCTGCAGATCGGAATCCTGATGTCCCCTGTTTCCCAATTCTCATAAGAATTTTCATCCTAAGCATTATCATTCTCACTTTCAACTTATAAAAAGACCGTTCTGATAATTTCGCGGCCAAAGCGACCATCGTATTATAATATTTTAACTCACTCATCCGCTATTTTTTTTAACCCGACCATTTAGCGGACCTCTTCTGCCACGGGGGAGGGATGGGAAAGGAATTGATGCGAGATCGTCATTAAAATTTAAAGGGGGGGGGGGAATTTGTTTGAAAGCACAGTCTTCAAATTATATTATCAATGGTAGTTTTATTTGCTATACTCATACCTTTCCTTATAATATATTTTTTTGTAAGAATGAAAGAAAGAAAGAAAGAAAGAAAGAAAGAAAGAAAGAAAGAAAGAAAGAAAGAAAGAGAAAGAAAGAAAGAAAGAGAAAGAAAGAAAGAAAGAAAGAAAGAAAGAAAGAAAGAAAGAAAGAAAGAAAGAAAGAAAGAAAGAAAGAAAGAAAGAAAGAAAGAAAGAAAGAAAGAAAGAAAGAAAGAAAGAGTATTGTATGTTAAACGGGTCTCGATACTAGATCAATTCAAATCCATCAGGTTTTTTTCAGATCTGATAGGAAACGTACAGATGGGATTTCCCAAATTCTTTAGAAAAAAGAAAGGTCATTTCCTATTCTGGAATTACCCACGTGCATTGCTCCGTTAGATCCCTCCAATCAAAACTCTTAACATCCCTAAGAGAAAAACGAGCAAATTAAAAAAAAATATCCAAAATATTCAGAAATTGCACAATAACAACATATTCATTTCCGATTATTTCCACTCTACCTCAAAAATTTTGTGACCCTTTTTGAAGAAAATACTGGAGATAGGTGTCGATGTCGGCTTTTTAAGTAGATCTAAGTAAAAAATTATTACTTATTACTCAATTTTTTTTGGAAGATTTCTGATCAAATTTCTGGTCACTATTGACCTCTAAAAAGAGAATATTCGTGAGCTCAATATTCCTGGCTAAATATATTCATCTCCAGAAATTTATTCTTGTGGTTTGTAGTTACATTTATCCCTTAATTTAGTTTTTAGTTGCATCGGGAATGACAAAATTTTTTTTTTATCAAATTCTGGTCAATAATTGACCTCTAAAAAGGGAATATCTGGTCGGTTAACGATCTCTTTGGTTAGATTAACTTAGATTCCTAACTAAATAAACTCATATCCCGAAAATTTATTATTGTGTTATTTTACACTTATTCCTAATTTAGTCTTATACTTGCATCGAAAATTCCCGAAATTCTATATCCCAATAAGATATTTAGTATATTTACTTTATCACTTGAATAAAGGGGAATAAATTTTACTACTTACCCAATAATTCTTAAAATATAATTTTATTCCGCTAGAGGAGAAGAAAATGAATGAATGAATAAATTAAAATAATGATAATAATAATGATAATTAGAACCTGGTTAATTAATTCGGACAAAAATTTGATGACCTTTGCTTCCTTTTGATCCTTTTCTTCTTCTTTCCTAAAATAATAAATAATAAATAATAAATAATAAATAATAAATAATAAATAATAAATAATAAATAATAAATAATAAATAATAAATAATAATAATAATAAAATTGTCATTCTGATTTCATACAATTATTTTTATCAAAATATTCTTTAGGCAAATCAGTTAAATTTTTACACCATAAATAAAATGACGATTCGGTTATAATAACTAATATAACATCATTATATACTAAATTTTTAAAACGCATTTATATATTTTTTTTAGTACTAACTTTAGATGCAATATAACTTCCGAAGTGTGGGAGCCGCCATCTTTAGTATGAACGATCAATTTGTAGACACCTTCATCTGGAAGATCAAGATCCTAAGTACAGAAAAAAAGAAGATTTATTAGATATTATTAATTTTCGTTCTTCTATACCTTGACGTGCAACGAATACATAGATTGAATGTCCGTTAGATGTCGCCCGTTAACGTACATCCTCTCCCTGGGATGAGGCACATTAGAAACCTTGATAGTCTTGCCGTCTTTGAACCATTCCAATCTGGGATCTTTATCCTCGGAATTTGTGGTGATCTTAAAATTTATGACCATGTCCTTCCCATCGTTCTCAAATACGATGACGGGTTCGTCAATGTTGCAATAAAAAGAACTTTTCCTTCTGCGAAGTGCATCGTCCCGTTTAGATTTTTCCTGATCTTCCAATTTCATCTCTTCTACAATTAGAATAAACATTTTTTTTAAAAAATATATATACATATTATTTATATAGAGAGATTTTCCGCTTTATAATAGCATATAATATTCGTTGAAGAACTGGAATTCCAGGGATTCCCCGGCCTCCAAAGTCGGATTAGAAAAGGGAAGCGAATTGCTTAGGTATTTATATACAGAGATTTTCCGCTTTATAATGGCATATAATATTCGTTGAAGAACTGGAATTCCAGGGATTCCCCGGCATCCAAAGTCGGATTAGAAAAGGAAAGAGAATTGTTTAGACTAAAAAAAATGAGAGATTTTGTTGGTAATATTTCGGAAATTTCAAAAAAAATATGGTAAAAATTGTGGTAAGTTACAATCGAGTATAGATGATTACAAATTTTTGCCTAATAGTCAATATGTTAAACCTGGCAACCCTGTTAAAATAAGGCATAAACGATGCTAAAAATCTTAAAATTCCAAGCATTTTCATGTTTCTAAAGATATACTGTAAGTTCAAAGATGTATTTTTTAAAAATTGATCTAGATTATATTTATTAATTATAACTTATAAATATTATATTAAATAAACATGGGTTGTTTGATAAATCTTTTTTTTTGCAACCAACCTTAGAAAAATTTCTACGAGCGCCTAATGATTATGCTGCCTTAATTTCTAAAGAAAAGGTAAAGCATAAATCTAATTTTACCATCTATTTGAAGAGATATGTTAGCATTGCTATCTCCGTATTTATTTTGGGCGTGACACTTGTATATCCCTGAGTCCATGCTAATAGGTGACTTATTTATAAAATAAAAAAAAAATAGTTCTCATCCTGATTATAACGAATTAATTGATTGGTTTAAAAAAATAATATGTTTTGGCCAATGAGAAGATAGTAAGTAAAAAAATTACGTTTAAGATTAAAACGTATTCGTACGCGTCCTTATCCTTGAGTTTAGAGAATTTGGTAGATATCCTGTTGTGCTGAGGGGTAGATGCTATAGGCTTCTCGTTGTAAAACCACTGAATCTTGCATTCCGGATTAGCCTTCAATTTACATTTTAACATCATATGTTTGCCGTCTTCCGCTGCTACTATTTCCGGTTTTCCTATGAAGGTTGGTTCAAATTCTTCTATTATGCAAAATATGTAATTTTTTTAAAAAATGTGTATATATAATGATAAAGTATACATTAGTAGTTTACCTATAATCGCAAAACAAACCAGAAAATGGACTAATTGATTTTGTAAGAGAAGAGAAGAGAAGAGAAGAGAAGAGAAAGAAGAAGAAGAGAAGAGAAGAAGAAGAGAAGAAGAAGAGAAGAAGAAGAAGAAGAAGAGAGAAGAAGAAGAGAGAGAAGAGAGAGAGAAGAAGAGAGAAGAGAAGAAGAAGAAGAGAGAAGAGAAGAAGAAGAGAAGAGAAGAGAGAGAAGAGAAGAGAAGAGAAGAGAAGAGAAAAGAAGAGAAGAGAAAATTATATGAATTTAGTGGCTAATTTTGCTGATTCTCATTCATTCAAAATGCTGGAAATGGTTGAAAGTTTCAAGTCCAATAAAGTTTAAATTTATATACTAATGCCCGAATGAATGTACTTTACCAGCGTTAGGTCCTTTGAGGACGGTCAAGGTAGCGGTTTGGGTTATGGCTTGTTTACCGTCGTTCACGATGACTTTATATTTGCCCGCGTCTTTCGCTTTTATATCGAGCAACTCCAACGTATCCACCGTTTCGTTTTCGCTGTTCGTCTCCGAGTATATTTGATATTTCAAATCCGTTTTGTCCAATTCCTTATCATCTCTGCCGGCATAAATTAGCGGCAAAAAATTTTAATTATAAATCGATAATAAATAAATCAAATATTTTAAGGTTTCCACACTTACGAACTATTCTTTCTTTCTTTCTTTCTTTCTTTCTTTCTTTCTTTCTTTCTTTCTTTCTTTCTTTCTTTCTTTGAACAATAATAGTAGGAATAGGAATAGAATAATAGAACTTTCTGCCGCACTATGAATTAGGTTCCACAATAATGGAATGTTGAAGAGATTTTATTATAAAAACCATATACATTATACATTTAAGGATATAACAAGTGATTATTTATTTTTGTTACTTGAACCAAGTGATTTTAAATCTTCTGGAATCTTGCATCGTGAACGTGAACTTTGCATTTCCGCCCACTTGAGCAACCTAGTGGTCATAATAGTTGATAGTTGATTGATATAAAGAAGTATAATTTTTAAAAAGAGAATTTTTACCTGGTCCTTTAAAGCAGACAGAAACTTTAGAACTTTCATGATGGACGATTTTCTTCTATTTTCGATTTCCATGGTACTATCATCCTCCCTATATATAAAAAGAAAGAGAATAAGTGGGAAAAAACACTGATAATTTTCAAAACTTATTCAGGTGCAGAATGACTTCAGAAGAATGGGAGCCGCCATCTTTAGTGTGCATGATCAGCTTGTAAGTTCCTTGATCCGAAATATCTAAGTTCTAAAAAATTAAAAGGCGTATCAGTTTTGTGCCAAAAAAGAAATTATTAATTTCAACTACTCACGTTCAGGTGCAACACGTATACAGTTTCGACATTGGATAGACGTTTGTCCGTCACGTACATTCTGTTACCGGTGGGGGAACGAGGCATTTTCAAAATTTTGTCGTCCTTGAACCATTCCAATCTAGGATTCTTATCTTCCGAATTGGTATTAACCTTGAATTCGATCGTCATATTTTTGCCGCCACTCTCGAATTTGATGACAGGTTTTTCGATGTTGCACCGAAAAGCACTTTTCCTTCGATTAATTATGTTTTCTTTATTTTCTTCAGTGTCTTCCATCTCATCTTGTATATGTGTATATTGTGTAACGAATAAAGTTCAGTAAAAGATTTCCTAACTTCTTTAGTCATATAAGCAGTAACTCTGGGGTCTAGAATATCACCGTCTCTAGACGGGGTGCAAAAACCAGCTAAAGGGGGGGGGGGGGTTGGTGTCAGGAAGAGGGCATCCGATTGTCAAAGCCTTTACAAAATTTCCTAATGATTAAAATCAGAGGGGGAAACTGACCAACCCGGTTAAACCTGAGAATCGCCATTAAACGGAGAAGAAAGAATAAGACAGTGCTCGAAAAAAAGATATGACGTATGGAGAAAATCTAATCTTTCAAAAGATTTGATCAGTGAATCGAGGGCTGTGATGCCATAATATATTCATTTCAGATATAAATTATAAAAAAGAAATACCATCGATTTGGAGGGATAAATTGCCGTTGCTTTCTCCGTAACCGTTTTTAGCGTGACATTTGTATATGCCGGAGTCTTTAGGTTCGGGTGACTGTATATAAATATTTTAACCGAATCATTTTAGCGCTTTAAATGTTGTAAAAAAAATCAACTATTCTTACGCACAGTGTACGCAGTGTTTCAAAACGCAATTCGTTTAAATTGGACAACGTTTTTTTTTTGCTTTTTTTAAATGTAGACGTATCATATATTTCATAGACGCATTTACGTTTTTTTTAATATATATTTGCGCTTTGAAACGCCGCGTTGAAACGTTCGATTCGCGCGCATGCGCACTATTATTCGGTACGACGTTTTTCTTATATTTCGCGTCTCCGAAAATAAATTTCGTATAGAGTCGATTTAGTTTGAATGGATGGTTTGGGTTTATTTTAGTTTTATTTTTCGTTATTTTTTAAATTATTTATTTAGTTTTTCTGACGACTTTTGCCAGAAATGTAATTCCAAAGTCCAATATTGTGTAGAATATTTTGCACCTATAAATTTCAGAATAATTTTTGTAACGAACATTTTGATGAAAATTTTAAATTTGTAAAAAAAAAAAATTAATATAAATTTATCAATTTTTTCTAAGAGTTCTTTCTTCAGAAGAATTCCTGAAATTTGAAGAATTATTTTTAAAAAAAGCTTGAATCCACAAGAAGATTTTTTAAAAGATCCAGGTGACGTTAGAAAGAATTTTATAAAGAATAGCAACATCCGGTGGTCAAACCGTCGCTTTACCTAATTTCTTTATTTAAATCAGTAAAAGGAATTTGTTAAAATAAGCAAGTATTTAGGGCATATGTAAATCCCAAAATAATATACTTCAGATATTTTATATTATTATTTATAAAATAATTAATTATTAATAAAATAATAATTAATAAATAATAAATGATAAACAATAAATAAAAAATAATCACGTTTAGGTGCAGCTGATATTCGTAAGTGTCGTCCTCTTTGGATTTTACGGATTTCGTGGAGATCCTTTTGTATTGCGAAATTTTTGTGATCGGCGTATCGTTGTAAAACCATTCCACTTGACATTCGGGAATCGCCTTGATTTTGCATATGAACGCCATGCTTTTCCCGTCATCGGCCGTAACAATTTCCGGTTTACCAACAAAATTGGGTGCCAGCCCGTTGGAGGGTTTACTTTCATAGAGGTTTTGATCTAAGTCGCGTATTTTATTTATTTATTAATTAATTATTATCTAATGAACAATAATATTTTTTCCCTTCCGTAACGAACAAGCTACGTGAGAAAAAAATATTCCCAGAGCCTTCCTCTTACATCTCATTTCTTTTATAAAATCCCTATCCATGTTAGACCCCCTATCCCTCCTGTAAACTGTCACGAAGTAACGATTGGCTTCTCAGCTCTCGTTCACGTAAGGCAGTGGTGGGGACCCCGTTAATTTACTTATATCGTGAATGAAGGAAGATTTATCGGGCAAACTCAAGTACAATAGGCGGTTATAACTAAATATGGATAATATTATTTAAGCACCATTACACACATTTTTGACAAGTGTCGCTAAAAAGCCCGATTTTGGCGGGTGGGGGGGGGGGGGGGGTCGATTATAAAAAAAACCGCCGGATTAAGGTTATGACCGAAATAATATCGTGTAAGCCTGGCGATTTTTGTTCATAGACAGCGGAAAGGTTTGGGCTTTTACTCGCCAAATCTTGAGAGGCCTACAACAATATTATTTTGTGGCTAAAATCTTAATCGGGCCGGTTTTTAAAATTGATCAATCCGGCTTTTTAACAACGCTTATTTTCGATTATATTCCTTTTTTTTTTGAAGCATATTTAAAAAACATGGATATGATTTTGATTAATTTTTTCAAATTAAAGATGTATGTATAATTTGCAGAGTTGTTAAAAGATCTAGATACAAGTATCTAGATCCTGTATCTGGATATAAAAATGTGGTATCTGTATCTGTATCTAGATATATTTTTGATTAAATAATCTGTATCTAGACATTATTTTAGACGTTGTATCTGTATCTAGATCCATTTAAAAAGTATCTTTTAACAACTCTGATAATTTGCTTCAATCACGAAAACTGGACGAGGAGCTATTGCTAACAACACGCTAACATTTACCACCATTTGCAATGGAAGCTAAATCTCAAGATGCCGGAACAAGGAAGCGTGGAAGATTGGAAAAGATTTTTTAAAAAAAGGCATTTAGTTGCTTCAATAAATCATAACTTATCGTTTTAACTAACATTTATTATCCATTCTTAAAATAAATTGCGAACAATTATTTGGTAAGTAGAATAATGTAGCTAGTGTTGTTTAAACGGATTAAATCAATATTTTAACCAAAAAACAACTGTCTAAGGCACAGAGATTTAGGCTAAAAGATGTCCTAAACCCATGTGCCACACACAATCCATGGGTGAAATCTTCAAGCTTGGGTGGGTGATATTTTTTGTGGATATGATATTGAGTTAGCCGTAATTTTAAATTTTTATATGGCCAAATTTAATATTGTTCCCTCCACCAAATGCTCCTTAGAGTGAGTTTAAAAAAAAAATAAATGGATTTTAAATGAATTTGTAAGCCATTGAAGGGGGCCCATAAATTAATTACTAATTCCTATTTCTCAAAGAAAAAATAATATAGTTTTCCATTTTGGAAAATATTTAAGTTAAAATGACGATTTTCAAATTTTCCATTACAATTTTAAAAAAAATATTTTCCAAATGTAACTTTTGTAAAATATATTAAATTATTTCTAAATTAATGAATAGTTAATTTATCCTTAATTTTTAGAGTTAAAAAAAAAATTTAAGGAAAGGAGAGGATATCACCTAAAATTAAGTAATAATAATCAATTTATTTTAAGGATAATAGTAAGGAAATTTAAGGACAGGAATAATAATTAATTATACAACATAGCCCCCCTCCTATCTTTCAAACCTCATCGTGACGGGGGGAGTTGGCGGCTAGTGGAGATCTAAAAGGTTCACCTGACGACTGGGTCTAGAAGTGTAACATCACTTAGAGGGTTGATGTCAGGAAGGGCATCCTCCCTAATGATGAAATAAGAAGGAAAACTGGACAACCGGTGAACCTGGAAAATCGCCATTAAAACGGACAAGAAGAAGAATAATTATACAACATAGCCATTTGAGATTGTACTCTAATGAATAACAATAAGAAGTAATTTGTAAGTAAAAAAAAACAAACTTGTAAGATTTAATGTTAGTTGAGCCTCGCTCTCCCCCATGATATTCTTCGCGACGCATTTATAGTCACCCGAATCCGATGCCATTGGTTCCTTAAATGTCATATGAAAATTTTATATATATCCTTCCTTCCTTCATTCCTTATTTCCAGAGTTGTTAAAGGATCTAGATACGTATCTAGATCCTGTATCTAGATATAAAAATGTGGTATATGTATCTGTATCTAGATAGATTTTTGATTAAAATATCAGTATCTAGATATTATTTTAGACGATGTATCTGTATCTAGATCCGTTTAAAAAGTATCTTTTAACAACTCTGCTTATTTCTATATATATATACACTTGTTATACTATATTATTCAGCTTTAAAATAAAACAAAAATCATATCTACATAGATGATGATACACAAATAATATATAACTTTTAAAATTCATTACGGGAAAATAAGTGTTGTTAAAAAGCACCTCTCTAACCGGGGGATCGATAAAACCGGTCCGAAAATATTGTATAATTAAATTGATATTATGTAAGTTGGTCTTGGAGATTTTGTTCATAAGATGGCTGAAAGTTTTGGAGATCCATTAGACACAAATCTCATGATTGGCATAATATTATTTTGGTAAAATTCCTAAATGGGCCACTTTTTAAAAAAATCGAAGCTATTTGAAACTTTCATACTAGAGCAAAATATAAAATCAAAACTAAATATACATCGTTTATGATAGTATTTTTATTAGAAAAGAAAAGAAAAGAAAAGAAAAGAAAAGAAAAGAAAAGAAAAGAAAAGAAAGAAAAGAAAAGAAAAGAAAAGAAAAGAAAAGAAAAGAAAAGAAAAGAAAAGAAAAGAAAAGAAAAAGAAAAGAAAAGAAAAGAAAAGAAAAGAAAAGAAAAGAAAAGAAAAGAAAAGAAAAGAAAAGAAAAGAAAAGAAAAGAAAAGAAAAGAAAAGAAAAGAAAAGAAAAGAAAAGAAAAGAAAAGAAAAGAAAAGAAAAGAAAAAGAAAAGAAAAGAAAAGAAAAGAAAAGAAAAGAAAAGAAAAGAAAGAAAGAAAGAAAGAAAAGAAAGAAAAGAAAGAAAAGAAAGAAAGAAAGAAAGAAAGAAAAGAAAGAAAGAATCAATTCATATAATTAAAATTCAATGATTAAAATATATTTAAACAATTATGATATGAGGAAAATAAAAATGCATTATAAAATATATAGCCTTTTTTCCTTCTATCTTAAAATAAAAATAAAATATTTATTAAATTCCTTTTCTTTCGGCGAAGAAAAAAGGAAAGAATAAAAAGGATTATTTATATAATATTTAATCTTTATTTCTTTCTTTCTTTCTTTCAATGTCATGTACTTGCTGCACTATGAATAATTAGCCAATCATTATAAGGAAAAGGGGGAAAATTTTATTTACGAGGAACAGGGCTAAATTTATGATGAGGGAGGGGTAGGGGGTTTAAACCAGGGTTGGCATGTCGGTCAATTGACCGGTCAAATTCGGTCAATTGACTGGTCAATTGACCGGAGGAGTATTTGACTGGTCAAATACGGTCAAATACTCTAAAATATTAATGGCGAATAAATATTTTGATATAATTAACTAGTATGCATTAAAAGCATGTTTATCAATCTTATTATTTTTTTATTAAAATATAAATATGTAATTTTTCTAAATATAGTAATATTTTTAGTTATTTTTTTGCCTAATCATTGCCGTTTCTCGCCTTCTTTATTTTTTTCAATTCATTTTTCTTAAAAAAAATAAAAATGCCCTATTTATTATAATCATAATATAATTTTTTCATTCTTATTTTTTAATAAATTTAAATTTTATTTAATTTTTAGCCGAGTATAAATTATATTAATTCTCATTTGTTTTACTTACACTTGCTATATTTGGTTTTTAAAATTAATTTTCATTTTAATTGTTCTGGTCAAATTTACGGAATATTATTCAATTCTGGTAAAAAGTTTATTATATTATATTTATAATATTAAGAAATTATTGGAATAATTGGTCGATAATTATAAAATAGTTAAGATTGATTAACTTTACAATAATCAAAATCATTTTTTGTTAAATTTTAATATATTATGGATTATGGTCAAACCAAAGCATCATGTTTGGAAACATTTTCAAGAAGTACGCGATGGTAAATCAGTTAAAGCGGTGTGCAAGTTTTGCAAGATGTCCTATATCACCCACGTTGATAGAATGGTCAAACATTTATTAAGCAGCTGTACTATGTGCCCTGTTATAATTAAGGAAAAATTTTATTCAAATTCCAAAATATCAACCTCTACAAAAAATATAACAAATGTAATTTGTAATACTTCTAAGTCTAACTCTAATGAAGAATTGGGTGAAATTAGTGAGAATGATTATCAAATGAACAATATTTTGTGACTCAGGAGAATTTGATTCCATTATTTCTAATCAATCTACAAGCAAGGCGATTAAATATAAATCTCAATCTTGTATAACCGGTTTCATAGATAGAATTAATCCCAAAGAAAAAAATGAGCTGGATCAATTGTTTGCAAAGGCTGTATATGCGAGCAATTTACCTTTCCACATCACTGAAAATCCCTACATCCAAGAATTTTTAAAAAAATACGTCCTATTTACACATTACCCAGGAGAAGGCAGCTGGCTGGATATCTTCTAGACAAAGCGTCAGGTGATATGGAGGTGAGAGTTGCAGATATAATAGATAAAGCTCCTTACTTATCAATTGTATCAGATGGCTGGAGCAACATTAGAAACGAGAGTATTATTAATTTTATGGTGATGACGCCTGTTCCAGTGTTCTACAAATTTCTAAATACTGAGGAAAATCGCCATACGGCAGATTATATTGCCCAGGAATTTAAAAATGTAATTCATGAATTGAATCCGGTAAAAGTATATTCTTTAGTTACTGATAATGCCGCTAACATGAAAGCAGCCTGGAGAATTCTAAAATCTGAATCTATTTATAATCATATACAATGTTATGGTTGTGCAGCGCATACATTGCAGTTATTCTTTCACGATTTTGAACGATTGGACGCCTTCAGTGACCATATTTCAATAATTAAAAAAATTGTTAAATTATTCAAGAATAAACACATACCAGCTGCAGTATTTTCCCGTAATAAGAATCTTCATGGCATACCATCTACATTAAGTACAATTAGCCAAACAAGATGGGCATCGTCAATAAAATGTATGGAGCAAATTCAAATATGCAAGAAAGCTCTAAAAGCATCAGTTGTTGAAGAAGCTGTTTGTGATAATTGTTCCATAGAAATTACCAATAATATATTAAACGAAGAATTTTGGACGAAAAATTTAAAATTTTTAGCTATACTCCAACCTTTAGCTACCTCATTGTTGAAAGTGCAAGGGGATAAATGTACTTTGGCCCAAGTAAAAAACGAGATGCTTAATTTGGAAAAACACATAATACAATCATGCCATGATTCTATATTTTCTCCATCTCAAGAAAAAAAAATTAAGGTTATGTTTGAAAAGAGAAAAACTGATATAAATACATGTGCTCACAATGCTGCTTATTTATTGGACCCCCAATATCAAAGGGAGCATCTTACTAATACTGAATTTGATGAAGCATGTAATATAATACAAGAATTGGGTATTTTACAAGGTGGTGATAATCAAAATATTTTTAGTAATATAGTAAATTTCAGAAGCAAAAGCGGTATATTTAATAGCCATAATATGTGGAAAGTTGTAACTTCCATAAGAAACAATCAAATTTCGGCCTCAAGTTGGTGGAATGCATTTTGCCCACCTTGCCCATTAAGAGAAGTCGCTAATATTTTACTAACATTTCCTAGTTCGACTTCTTCTTCTGAAAGAAATTGGTCGGTTTGGGGCAATATTCACACGAAAAACAGAAATAGATTAAAGGCTTCTACAGCAGGAAAATTAGTAAGAGTGTATCATAATTTAAGATTGATTAAAAATATTAAAGAAAATAATGATATTGAATATGAATCGGAACAAGACTCTGCCACGGAGGGTGAAACATTGACTATAGAATGAATTAAAAAATATTATGATATTTATTATTATACATAGATTTATTATAATATTATATAAATGCAAAATAAAGTTAATATTGGTGTAAAAAACATTTATTTGAATTTGACCATATTTGACCATATTTGACCGGTCAAATATCGGTCAAATGACCGAATTGTATTTGACCGGTCAAATGCACAACCCTGGTTTAAACCCCTTAGATACCGGTCTGGTATTTTATATCGCGCAACAAGAGGAATATCCATTGATCTATTTATTTAAGAGTTCATTTAAAAAGCTCTTGGAACACCCGTTAATCGGTTATTGTATAAAGAACAAGGTCATTTATTTTACAATTAAAATGAGGATTAATTTTAAAATACGATTCGAATCAATAATTTTGTAATATCTAGTGTTGTTAAATGGCTCGTTTTGGGCCGATTTTTAAAAACGGCTAAAACTCAATATTTTAGCCCGAAAAATATGGCTTTAGGCTCAAGATTTCGACAATATATGTCTGGAACCTTTGTTCCTTCTATGATCTAAATCTTCAGGCTTGAGTAATATTTTTTCTGGATGGAACATATTGAGTTTAAACAACACTAGTAATATCAAATTAAAGCACTTAAACGTTTTTCATTAGCTATATAAAATAATATGCGTTGATGATGTCGAATGAGCTAGCGGACGACCGACTTTAAACGGTTCCTAAAGGTTTAAAATTTAAAGAAAAAATATATTTTTTTTTTCTAAATAAGTAAGTTTTATATTCATTATATTTATTCGTTCTTTAAAATTATTTGAAAGACTTGGTCGTCAAATGGTAGTGTTGTTAAATGGCTAGCTTAGCATTTCATCCAGAATAATATTGCACAAGCCTGAAGATTTTGTCTGTATGGAGGAACAAAGGTTCTGACAACTATTAGCGAAATTCTCGAGGATTAGGGCAAATATTTATCTGGCTAAAGTAATGAGTTAGCCGTTTTTGTTTAAAAAATGGGCTCAAAACGAGCTGTTTAACGACACCAGTAAATGACCTAATATAATGATATTAACTGATTATTTTCATCGTTAGCACTTTGGAATGTATCGTGGACAAAGGAGTCCTGAATAACAAGACGCTTGAGGAAATACCCAAATTAAGAAGAGAATAGAGAAGAGAAGAGAAGAGAATAGAGAAGAGAGAGAAGAAGAAGAAGAAGAAGAAGAGAAGAAGAAGAAGAAGAAGAGAAGAGAAGAGAAGAGAGAGAAGAGAAGAGAGAGAAGAGAAGAGAAGAGAAGAGAAAGAAGAGAAGAGAAGAGAGAGAAGAGAGAGAAGAGAAGAGAAGAGAGAGAAGAAGAATTCGCGAATTGTTTATATAATTAGAAAAATTTCAGGTATTTTTTCCTTCAATAAAATATTATTCCGAATAACCGTTTTAAAAAAAAAATCTCCATGGCAGGGATGTTCGGTTTAAGGTTAAAGAATATGGGTGGGTTCGGTTCGGGTTCGGTTTGGGTTCGGTTCGGGTTCGGTTCAGGGAAATATTTTTGAAACCGGGTTTGGTTCCGGGTCGGGTTTAAGAATTTTTGAATTGATAAAAAAAATATCATATTTTTAAATATTAATTTAAAAACTAGACACAAATTTGAATTTATACTTTTTGACTTGTTCACTTTTATTTTCCTCTAATTAATAATCTTTGAAAATAAGTTAAAAATTAAAAATAAATGGCGTAAATGAATTTGATTGGTTTAAAATTTATTAACAATCCAATAGGAATTCTTTGAGAATAAATTTTAAAAAAAAATTTTTAAATGGAGTAAATGAATGAAGGATGTTTAAAATTTATTAACACTTCACTTAATTGGAAATTTGAATATAAAATGTCAAGTAAATTATTAATATTTGTATTTACAATTATACAAATATTATATATCAATTTAAACAATACAGTGAACCCGGTTGAACCCGGGTTCAAATTCCCGGGTTCGGTTCGGGGTTTCGAAAATTTTATAAACGGGGTTCAGGTTCGGTTCCGGTTCCGAAATTTATTCCAAAAAACCCGGGTTTTCTTTTCCGGGTTCGGGTTCGGTTCGAACCTCTGCTCCATGGGCTCGTCTCTTTTGGAAAGCAATTTTCGGAGATAAGAATACACTAGTCGGAAGAAAATCTTTGAAAAAAAAACGAATTGAGTATTGGTTGAAATATTTGTAATAAGGATTTAAATAATTCATAAAATTTTAAAATATCTTAATCTTATTAACATTAAACGGGCTTGATTTTTAAAAACGGCTAACCCAATATCTTAGCCATAAATAATCACATGCAAACTTTTCGCTCTCGTGTTAAAAACTACTATTAAATTGATAACTTTGCTTCCTTATATCGATGATCACACAATTCTTTAAATAACCTTTTCGTCAGCTTTGGCCCTCTCGTTTAAAAATTTTTTTAATAATGATACGGGTAATCAAAATGGAGTCCCCAGCTGTTTTCATTTGATGTGCACTTTTAAATGAATGCATCGTCAGTCTAGGTATCATTATTATGTCATTAGCCCCCCCCCCATACCTACTGGAAATATTTCGATTTTAAAAAAAGTAGAACAAAATCAATTAGATCAGATAAGAAAGGTTCTGACACCTATTAACGAGATCGCATGAAGGATGGAGTTTCTTGGGGAAGTTGCAGCTGGCGTAACAATTTTTGGGGCTAAATGAGCCCTTTTTAACAACACTAAATTTTACATGACTTAAAAAAAAATCATAAGCCCTTAATCGTTAATAAAAGGAATTTTGAAGTCTGTTTTATAATTATTTTTATATTACGTTTTTTTTAAAAAAAATACGATTCTCTAATATGGCAATGATGATTGTGTATTTTCAAAATTAAAATGAACAAACTGCAGAGCTCATCATATGGTACCCCCTTATACATGTTTGATGCCGAACGGATGAATTCATGCATCCTTATGTAAATGATCAATCATATATTTTTAATCTTTAAGGAAATTAGGAAAAAGGAAAAATCATTAGGATTTTTTTTAGCAAAACATATGTTTTATTTTTTGAATTTTAGAAAAGACTTTGGTAATGGCGTTTAATTTTTTAAAAAAAGTGACAATTATAATTAGGTAAGTTGAAGAAATAATCAATAATTCATTAGAATTCCCTCCATAAATTAATTCGTTTTAATGTGCGACTTATTGCAATTTTTTTGAAAAAAATAAGCTAAATGTTAATATTTTTTAAAAAAAAATATAACATAGTTTAATCTCTAAATGTACTATCTGAACATGTTTTGCTTTACAAAAGTCTGTGTGAAAAAAAAAGAAAATAAATAATAAAAATAAGAATAAGAATCAAATTCCACGTCAAAAAAGGCTACAATAAAAATGGGAATTAGATCTGGCATCAAAATTTTTTTAGTAAATAATCCAAATTTATAAAGATTCAAGATATATAAAGAAAGAAAGAAAGAAAGAAAGAAAGAAAGAAAGAAAGAAAGAAAGAAAGAAAGAAAGAAAGAAAGAAAGAAAGAAAGAAAGAAAGAAAGAAAGAAAGAAAGAAAGAAAGAAAGAAAGAAAGAAAGAAAGAAAGAAAGAAAGAAAGAAAGAAAGAAAGAAAGAAAGAAAGAAAGAAAGAAAGAAAGAAAGAAAGAAAGAAAGAAAGAAAGAAAGAAAGAAAGAAAGAAAGAAAGAAAGAAAGAAAGAAAGAAAGAAAGAAAGAAAGAAAGGAAAGTGTTATTTTAATTAAAATACTCTCAGATATTGCGTGCCTTTGGCCATTTTGGTCTATAAATAAGGGAAGGAATAAAATGTCGAAAACGAAATTGAGTGAATGATTATTTTTAAGTTTTCTCCTCTTAGCTGTTCCTAATTGATCACAATTGTCATAATGGAATGCTAAATTTTCTGTGTAGCAAAAGTCCAGATAAAATTCATCTAGTTATCCCAAGGAAAGATAAACAAATCAGTTGTCAACTGTTAGTTGTGAAGGAAGTTTAACTTTTCATTAGGCACTTTGGATCCATTTTTATCATTCGTGTCGTATATTATATTTAAATCTAGACAGGTAATCGACTGGATGCCTATCTTTAAATTCTATCAGTTCGGTACCCACCAATTAATACCAGTGAAGTCATTAGCCTTTACGATAACAGGAGGCATTATGAATATTTTTTGTTTCTTCAATTTTTTCATGGGACTTGACCTTAGTGGCTGCTGGTCAATACCCACTTATCCTTAGCATAAGGTGATTTGTATTTGTGCCTATCCTAATATAGACAGCATATCTATCGGCAGAATAAGTTTCTATAATTTGTGTGGGTTAGTTCAATTTTATTCATAGCCAAATAAGATAGATAAGCTGTTGGGTCTTAAGTTAATCGAGATTAGATATTCAACACAACACAGAAAGTTCGATCTAATCATTTTTCACTCTGCAATATTAGCAGACCAGCTGTATAACGCCAAGAGTTTGTAACCTACAACCAATCAACCAATACATTAAATAATGCATTTTAAAATGTTTTTTCTTGCAATAATGATTATATTTTAAAAATATTATATCTGTTTATTATAACATCTTAATTAAAACATTTGATCCTTTATAACTTCGTTAATTATATATTTTCTTTAACCTGTATATATATATTATGTTTTATCTAATTAGAATTACAACATATATCACTGTGATAAATTAGATGTATATCACTATAATAATTAGCAGTAATTCATTTGCAATGCTTTCACTGTAATACTTCGCGATAATATTTTTCGTTATAACGCTTAACCCGCTAAAATATTCGCGTATTGACATGTGACCGGTTCAAGGCGATATTTTGAATAAATTTTTTTCTTTTCTATTATATAAATTCCAACCACCTGATTGAAAGAACGAGTCACTGGCTGTATCTCAAACTTTCTACATTAAGTTTCGGGAAGGTATTAAAGTTAACCTTAAATTAATTATATAAATATAAAAAATTTTGATATTTAAATTTAAAATTTTGATATTAAATTTAAAATTTTGATATT